AGGAGGAGGAGGAGGAGGAGGAGGAGGAGGAGGAGGAGGAGGAGGGGGAGGGGGAGAGGAGAGGAGGAGGAGGAGGAGGAGGAGGAGGAGGAGGAGGAGGCAGGAGGGGGGGTGAGGAGGAGCAGGAGAAGGAGGAGGAGGAGGGAGGGAGGAGGAAGGAGAAGGAGGAGGAGAAGGAGGAGCAGGGAGGGGGGGTGAGGAGGAGCAGGAGGAAGAGGAGGAGGAGCCGGAGGAATTGGAGGAGGAAGGGGAGGAGGAAGCAAGGACGGGGGTGAGGAGGAGGAGCAGGAGGGGGGCCAGCGTCGGAATGAGGTCGATTGCTCCCTAACGCCCTGGGCGGGCCGCCGCCGAACGTTGACGGGCGCGGGCGAAGGTTGGGACGGCGCGTCGGCCGCGCGGGAGGTCTGTAGCCGCCCGAGCGGCTCGGGCACACTCAAAACTCAGCTGGTCGGAAACCGCCCCGTCAGGCCCGCGCTTCCTGACCTGATGCAAGTGCCGATGAAGGTGGAAACGCATCACCAAAAGACGAGCCGCGTCCGTGCAGTGGCCGACGAGGGCTAGCCGGGCTAGCATGTCCGAGGGAACAGGACGCCCCGAAACCCGAAACAGGAGCTCGTCAAATCTGGGGCAGGCGATGTAGTGGGAGAGTGAGTCGAGGGCTCCACCACAGCCGAGGAGAAACCCGTGCTGGGGGTTCCTAAGCCTAGTGTCGGTGACCCACCCCCCAGTCCACGTCTTCAAAAAAGCCCAGCGCCATGCAGGGGGGAGGGAAGCGAGGAAGGAGCGAAGCGAATCAAGGTCGAGAGGGACGAGGGAGGTCGGGGGGATGGCAAACCATTTGGCCAGGCGCTTGCGCACCCTCGCAGCCAGGCCCGAGCGTCGATCGGGCTGCGCGAGGGCGCGCATCAGCGCGGCCTGAAAACGGGGCCGCCTCCCCTCACAGCGCCGCGCCTCGGCTTCCAGCGACGCGCTCCTCAGGGCTGCCTCCGAGCCCAGCAGCGTCGCCGCCTCCTCGAGGAGCATGGCAAGGGGCCTCGCCTCCCAGAAACCCGGCCACGCGAGCCCTCGGCCGAGGGCCTCGAGCGAAAGGCACCGCGCTGCCGTCTCGCGGAGGGCCCGCGCCATCGCGCGCCATGTCACCAAGGTCTGCGTGGCGGTGCGCACGCGGGCCCCGGCGCAGAGGTCCCCAAGGAGGTGTATCGGGGTCAGAGCGAAGAGGTCCAGGGCCGAGAAGTCCAGGAGTCCGAGCCAGCTGCCCGGCGCCCGCAGCAGCCGACAAAGCACGTGGTGCTCAGCCTTGGGCAGGCGCTTCGGCAGCGGGATGAGCTGCGCCTTGTACGAGGCGACCGCCAGGGCCCTCTCGTGGTAGACCTGCACCGCCGTCTCTGCGTCGTAGGGGGCAGCTGCAATCTGCCCTGTGCGCCATTCCCACTTCTCCAGCGTTGGCGCCCACTGGAGGTCCGTCGAGGCTGCCGGACCCAGGAGAACCCCGAGCACCTTCGCCATCGGGGCGATGCGGAAGAGCCGCCACCGTTCGGAGACGGAACCGAGGATCTGGCGCGCCTCGTCCCCAGAGGGGTACGCAGATGCACTTCTCCCCCTTCAAGACCAGGTTGGCGAGCAGCGCCGAGGCCCTCATGATCCTGCCGACCACGCGGAGGCCGACCAGTTGGAACGTGACCGTGAGGAGGTCATCCGCGCACCAGCGGCCGATGCCGCGGCGCCGCCCCTCCAGGTGCTTGGCCATGTCCTGGCAGAACGGGTGCTCTCCAGCCGCGTACAGGGATCCCGAAGCAGGGTCACCTTGCAGCACCCCGCTGCGCACACATAAGAGCTCCTCGCGCGTCGGCCCGGAGTCCAGGGCACGGACCTCGCTGTATTGCATCTGGAGCCCATTCAGCAGGGGCTGCGGGACCTCCCAATCCTCCAGCACCCACCACGGCCAATCCTGGAAGACCGAAGGGAAGGCGCGCGAGGAGGAGGAGCAGGAGGAGGAAGAGGAGGAGGAGGAGGAGGAGGAAATGGAGGAGGAGGAGGAGGAGAACGAGGAGAACGAGGAGGAGGAGGAGGAGGAGGAGCAGTAGGAGGAGGAGGATAGCGAGGGGAACGAGGAGGAGGAGTAAAAGGAGGACGAGGACGATGAGGATGAGGAGGAGGCAGGGAGAAGGGGTGAGGAGGATGCGGAGGAGGAGGAGGATGAGGAGGAGGAGGAGGAGGAGCAGCAGCAGCAGCAGCAGGAGGAGGAGGAGGAGGAAGAGAAAGAAGAGGAGGAGAAGGAAGGAGGAGGAAAGGAGGAGGAGGAGGCAAGGGGGAGGAGGAAGAGGAGGAGGGGAAGGAGGAGGAGGAGGAGGAGGAGGAGGAAAGGAGGAGGAGGAGGAGGAGGAGGAAAGGGAGAGAGAGGAGGAAGAAGAGGAGGAGGAGGAGGAGGAAGAGGAAGAGGAGGAGGAGGAGAGGAGGAGGAGGAGGAGGAGGAGGAGGAGGAGGAGGAGGAGGAGGAGGGGGAGGTGGGCAGAAGGAGCAGGAGGCGGTGTGCGGGGGAGAAGAAGGATGATGAGGAGGGCAAGGAAGATGATGATGATGAGGAGGAGGAGGAGGATGAGTACGAGGAGCCCTCGTCGAGGAAGAGGAGGTCCTGAGTAAACCCATGATGCACCAACCGATGCTGCAACATATCCTCAAATCCCGAGTCCCCTCTTCACATATCAAGAAAATGTTCTTCCACTGCAGGCACCTTTCCTTGAATGACAAACGGCCGGCCGGTCCGCCAGTCAGACCAAAACGCCTGTCGTGAAGGATCATCCTTCCACTTGGCGGACGTCCAGGGCAACCCCATTTTGAAAAGCACGCGCTCTCCTTCCGTCTAAGAGTTGCAGGATGGCGAGGTCGTGGACATATGTTCTGCGGAAGTCCCACGCGAGAGCCATTCAACGATGCCCATGGACAACCTCATTTCGAGAAGAGCATGCCCTCCGTCCGTCTAAGCTGTGTGAGTCGTGGACGCATGCCCCGCGGAAGTCTCACGCGAGAACTCCGTTTCGAAAGAGGAGCCTCTCTCCGTTCGTTCTAGCTGTTGCACAATGTGGAACGCTGGGTCGTAGAGGTCGAGGAAGCGTCACGCGAGTGTAGATGGTGGACTTTGTCTGCGACTGCGCGCGAAGCACAAGGGATACCCCAATATGGTGGGGGCGTTCGTTAAGGAATGTGCCCAGGTTGCTGCAAACCCTGGCGGATACCTTATCTGATGAGGGCGGCGATGAAATCTATGGCCGGTCCACGATTGGAATCCCACCGGCTTCCAGATCCGGGATTCCATATCTAATCTACAGATTCCTTATCTAATGCCCCCACCGTCTTGGAAAGGACCCACCATCCACTCGCGCAGCTAAAAACAATTTGGTGGCCAAGCGCGCGCGGCGCCAAGGAAAAGCCCCGTTTTGAAAACGGCCCGCCCTCTATCGGCTCTTTGGTTGTGTCAACCGATCGTGTGCGGCGCCACCAGAGCGAGAGCCCCATTGTGAAAACCGTTTGTGGTCCACGCGTCAACGCCGTCTGAATTCATCTGCCGCTTGAAACCTCCTGCGGCGACAAGGACGATGAAGATGAGGATGTGGATGCGATTGTTGCTTGTGGCGACGGCGAGCCTGGGCGGGCTTCGGAGAGGACTGTAGCGTCTGGGAGCGCCTGGGAGCGTCTTGGGGCGCCTGTGAGCGCCTGAGTCAGTCTGGGGAGCGCTTGGATCCCAAAGCGGGGTCGGCGAGGCGCGCCCGAGGCGCATCGAACATCATGTTTGTGCCATTCTGCACTGTGCTTGTCCAGCCTTTTGTGCCCAGGAGCTCTTCGGGAGCCAAGGGGTGGGACGATTTTGAAGATCAGGAAGTGCGCGGCGAATCTTGTAGTTTACATTAGGTGGTGAGGGTTGGTTCAGATGGATGTGCCCCGAGTTGCGTCTGTTGCGTAGGATGGTGAGGGTTGGGTCGGATGGATGTGCACGGGATCGTATGTTAACATCGGCGGATGTGGAAGGTAGGGTGCTATGGATGTACATCATCGAACCAGATATGTTGCGTTGGATAGGGAGGGTTGGGTCGGATGGATGTGCACCGAACATGTTTTTGCATAGAACGGTAGGAGGTTGGTTTGTATGGATGTGCACCTAACCTAACTGTAAGTAAACACGCATGTGTTGCATAGGGTGGTGAGGGTTGCATCGCATGGAAATGCGCCGATTGTTTGTTTTGCTTCGGATGGTGCGAGTTGGGTCGTATGGGTGTGTGCCGCGCTAGAGCGAAGGCCGCATCTTGAAACAGAACAGGCTGCCATCCTTGAAACTGTTGCACTGCTTGCAAAAAGGGGGTGAGCGCGGCGCTAAAGCGAGAACCACATGTTTAAAACCACCTGGGCTCCATCCTAGAAGCTCCTGTAACTATTTGAACGAATTTGCGCGGCGCTAAGGCGAGAGCCACATTTTGAAAACCAGCCAGGCGCCATCCTTGACGCTGTTGCAAATTTCAAGCTAAACTATCAAACAATGGCGAAGAAATCTCAAGCCAACCGACTGGCCCGGTCTACGGACACGTCGGGATGCGCGACAGGGATGAGTTCTCGATAATGAAAAGGAATGGAGGAGGAGAGGGTGATGAGGAGGAGAGAGGGCGAGGAATGAGAAAAGGTTGGGGGAAGAGGACGAGGAGGAGTGTCGGAAATACAAGAGGACGAGGAGGAGCAAGACGAGGAGAAGGAGCGGGGAGATGGGCGGATGCGGGGGGAGGCAGGAGGAGGAGGAGGAGGAGGAGGAGGAGGAGGCAGGGAGAAGGGGTGAGGAGGAGGAGGAGGAGGAGGAGGAGGGAGGAGGAGGAGGAGGAGGAGGAGGAGGGACGGGAGAGAAGGAGGAGGAGGAGGAGGAGGAGGAGGAGGAGGAGGAGGAGGAGGAGGAGGAGGAGGAGGGGGAGGGGGAGGGGGAGCAGGAGAAGCAGGGGGAAATGGAGGGGGGGGGCTGAGGAGGAGGAAGAGGAGGAGGAGGAGGAGGATGACGAGAAGTAGGAGTGGGAGAGCAGGAGGGGAAGGAGGGAGGGGAAGGATAACGCATAGAAGTGTGTTTTCCAGGCGCGGCCCATGCCGACAACTCTGGCAGCCTTTGGGACGGTGATTTGAACAAAACCGTTCCGACCGGGTGACAACCCAGAGGATCAAAAACCACCGCTTTTGAGTCTGAACCTTCACTGTGGAGGAATGCGGCGTCCAGGACGGATAATCAAACGTCTCCGTAATGGAGGTCGGACCTTTGTCTTGGAGGGTTTCGATCCCCTGGGACGAGAGAAGAAACACGAGGGATGCTGCCACGAGTCTGGCAAGGGATCCACCGCAGCCGCGGCCAAAGCCTGCCAGCGGGCGTGCCCTCGCACCCTAGCGCAGCGAAGACGTGCCTGGAGGAAGCGAGGAATGCTCCAAGAGGAGAGAGAGAGAGAGAGAGGGAGAAAGAGAGACAGAGACAGAGACAGAGACAAAGACAGAGAGAAGAGCCGCGCATGAGGCCAGAAATCTATTACGACTACGTGGGCTCCCCAAAGAGGACGGTGCGAGGAGGGCAGCGGTGGGAGCAACCTGCTTGCCCTGGAAGACAAAACATGTGGCATGGCCTTCAAATGTTAAAGAATTTGGCCAGAGAAGCCCGTCGCACAGAATATAAACGGGCTGCGCGACTGGGCACGCGCGCGGTCAGAGCTCGTCTCGGTCCTATGCATACTTCAACTTTCTGCGGGCAATCACGGACATGCAAACGCAGTCAGAAGTGACCTGATTGAGTGAACATTGAGACGTCGGGATGAACGACTGCACACGTGAGTCAACGCGAATGCAGGCAACCGTTGTTAGGACATTCGAAACGCACGCCACAATCCGATCCCACTGGCCCTCTGGGTGGAGGTGGCATAGGGCGCTTCCTCTTCCAACCTAGTCTTCCCCTTCGGCCTGGGGTTTACCCCCCCCCCACACCTCCCCCTCCCCCTGGGTCTGGACGGGGAGTGGCGCGAGAGGCTGGAGCGCCCCAGATGGCCCGATGTGGCTCAATGATGACCGCACAGAGCCCAAGAAGGCCCCAAGTCTCAAGATGGCTGATAATGGTTCAAGATGGCTTCCGACGTGCGTCCACGAAGACCCAAGACAGTCTCAAGACGGCTTCAAGTGAGCACGGAGCCTGCCAAGGAGGCCCCCCAAAGGCGCAAAGCATTCCCAAACCTGATGAAACCAATGTGGTGTGCCTTCTCGCCTTTTCGCGTCAGATGTGCTGTCGGGGCCTCAAGGTGACTCGAAGATGGCTCACGAAGGCCCCAAAGAGAGGCCGAAAGGGTCCCCAGACAGCCCCAAGCCCAATGCTGCCCAAGATGGCCCCAAGACCGACGTTTCAGAATCCAGAGCGGCAGCGCTAATTGATCCCCCCTTCTTTGATCGATGTCCTCCAAGATGACCCCACGAAAGCCCCTTAGGCTGTTGTGGTGGATGTCGGCAGGCTGCCAAAAAGGCCTAGACGACCTCGGCCGAAGGCCGAGAAAAGTAGCATAGGGGTTAAAGAGAAACCGCCCTAGAGCAGCCTCGTGGCCAACCCGCAGCCCCGTAGGCTCTCCAGGGGCTCCAGGCAGGCCCCAAGAGAGCCCCAAGGGTTTCCAGAATAGAAAAAAGCCCCCAGGAGCATCCAGAAGTGCCTCACTGGTCGAGAGCGCCCTAACAGGGCTCTAAGGAGTTACCTTCGAGCTCACGAGGGGCAACACTCCAAAATTCCAAAAATAGCCCCAAGAGCATCCAAAAATGTCTCACTTGTCAAGAGCGCCCTACGAGGGCTCTGAGAGGTTACCTTCGAGCCCAAGAGGGGCAACACGAATCAGGGTCGGCCCCTCGTTTGAACGATACCATCCCAGATTGCTCCAAGAGGGCCCTCAAGGCCCCCAAGAGAATCCCAAGAGACCCCCGAGATGGCCCAAGAGGGCGTCCAGCATGCATCGGAGAGGGCCTCCAAACCGCCTCAAGGCGGCTCCAAGTGGCCACGGAGCTTCCCAAGGACGCCCCCGAGGGGCCAAGATTCTGACAAAACCTAGGAAACCAATGAGTTCTGCTGTTTCGCCTCTTCGCTTCTGATGCTTTATTCAAGACTACTCCAAGGTGGACGTCTTTGTTTTAAATTTGGGTTTGATTCGTTTGTGTCTTCCACTGGGTGCTTCCGCACTTGCCTGGTCAAGACAACTTGCCTGGCGATCGTATCTGGATGTGCTGGTGGGGATACTTTTTGGTCTGCGGGCTCGCGAAACAAGTCGAAAGCCGTCCGATCACTAGCTGGTGGGGATACGCGAAGCGTTAGTAATCATGACCAAGATGCTGCCCGTACTGAGGGAAGAACATGTTTACGGATATCAGGTTGAGTACTGGGGGCGCTGCTCTGGACGAACATGTTGACGCACTGGGGGTACTGCAGTGGACAAAGAAAAACGCGGATGCCTGGAGTAACTCTGAGGGTGATCTGGAAGTTTTGGCTGTGCCCTCGCGAGTGGACTCAATCTGCAAATATTCCTGGAAAGTCTTCACTCCCGACTAGATATCTGACACTCACCAAAGCCGAGCTAAAACCTAGCGTGTGTGCGCAATTTGCCCCGGTCGCACATTTTGACCCATTCCGTGGCTTGCAGAATGTCGAGTGAGCACACGCCGTGCTCATTCGACGCTCAGGATTTCTGGCGCGGAATAGTGGCGCCGCCAGGGTGCTTTCACAGAGACCTGCACTGCCCGAAGGCGTAGGCGCAGATGGTGGCGGGAGCTCGGCGGCGTGCCCCGATGCTGGATGTCAGGGGCTGCAGCCGTCGTGCTGTCATGAGGAACGCTGAATGAGCATCGAAAGGGCGTTCCTTGCCACCGCGTGCCTCGGCTTCGAACAGGCTCCCCGGCCTAGCGAAAACCGTGGCCCCCTCCTGCGCCCAAAGTGGTCCTCGTCTCAGCGTCTTGGAGCTGTACGTTGGGGGCTCGTCTGCGGCTATTGCCCCAGCGCGGGCGCCCGTCATGCCCCTGGCGCCGGGGGGCGAACCGCCGGCGAATCGACAGAGAAACTGCGGCGAACGAGTCGTGAACGGACTGCGGATAGGAACAAACATCACCGTAAACATAAACTTCCTGATGTCCGTGCGGATTTCTTGGATCTGCGCTGGCCCAGGACGCGAGGCACATGTAGCGCTTCATCACCTTCGCGCTCCCCGCGGGCGACCATGGGTGTCTGCTGCATTGTTTTTTTGTCGCGTGCTGTGCCGTAGAGTCCCGGATGCGGGATCGGCTTGGTTGAGGTAATGATCGGTGGTCGGGCGTTGCTTGATGGGGGGGCGATGACAGGGGGGAGAAGCGTGCAATCATGCCTCTTTGGGGCCCCAGGGAGGCCCTCAGGGGCCCCTTTAGGGCACAGACGGTGCAACTTTCTTTCCCTCCCCCATTCATCGCTCCCCCATTGCGCAACGCCAGAGGTGGATGCATGGAAACGCGGCCGGGTTGACGCTGGAATATCTGGAGACGCGCGGAGTAAACGCGAAGCACTCCCGCCAAGAACCTCCATATTTTCACGCCAGCCGTGTCCGCGTAACAAAAACATGACATACAACAAGAAGGATGAGGCCGTTGTCACGAGGAGGAGACACAAACGCACACCCAGTGGTACCCGCAAGCCACCCGTAAGACCGATACCACCGCTGACCTTCGTTGCTGGCACAAGGCCATCCGTTCTGGTTATTACGCTCGTACTCCCAGGCTGACACCTACAGTGACGCTCCCTGTCTCAGACGCGCACGTTCGGATTCGAATCTGCCCACCAGTGGCACGCAACATCACAATGTTGAGGCACGGCCCCCCTGACCGCAGGACAGAAGCGAGCGCAAGACTGGGACGAGCACGAACACGAGCGGGCACCTGCTTGGCCTACTGCGGTCCGCTGGGCGGCGCTCAGAGCTTCGCCTGGGCCTGGGCCTGGCCTGCCAGGATCTGCTGGGCCATCTCTGCCAGCTTCCTGCTCTGCCGGACGCCGAGGTCCAGCATGACCTCCTCGGAGCCGCCTGGCACGGCCATGGCCCGCACCTCGCGGGAGAGGCGCTCCACCTTCTCGCCCTGGCCCCCGCGGGTGTACGAGAGGCCGCCGAAGATCTGCGCCGCCTCGCGGGCGCAGTACTCGAAGACCTTGGTGCACTGGACCTTCAGGAGCGCCGTGACGCCTCCGAGCTTCAGGGTCGCCTCCATCTTGTGCATGGTCTGCATCTGGAAGGTGGTCGCCTCGAGCCACGCGTGCGTCGACTCCACCATGCGGGCCATCTCCGCCAGCTTCCAGCGGATCACGTCGTGCTGTATGAGAGTTTTGCCGAAGGTCTTGCGCTTCGCCGCGAACTTCAGCGACTCCTCCATGCACACGCGGGAGAACCTGTTTGTCATCGCGCAGATCGCAAAACGCTCATGGTTGAAGTTTGACATTATCATCTTGAAGCCGCCCCCTTCCTCTTGGCGGCGCGCAGGGCGGGGCGGGGCGAGGGGAGCGGCCGTCCAAGAAGGCAGGGGGGGGCTCCTCGGAGGGGACCGGCGGCTTCCAGGAAGGCTTTCCTTGCAAGGCAGGAGGGCGGCCACGAAGCCCTGGACTCCTCGCGCCAGACGCCGGGCCCACATCCGCTCCGAAGCGGTCCACGGCACTGCCGGGGCCCATCCTGCCCAGCCTTCCGAGCCGCGTCCAGCAGTCGCGGCGAGAACCTCCAGCGACGCCCAGAAACCTTCCATAAGGAGGTCGTCGACGACGCCGTCGTTATGAGGCAACAGGGCCCCCATGCGTTCTCAGAAGGCCGCCCCCGTGGCGCCGCCCCACTCTGTGCGCCCCCGATCCTTGCCGATGAGGTTCTCCACCGGGACCTTCACGTCCTCGAAGGTGATGTACGTGGTACCGCTGGACCATACGCCGCTGCACTTCATCTTGCGCGTGTTGACGCCGGGCATCGTCCTAGAGAACATATTCGGTATAGAAATAACCTTCTCGAGGTCCGCGCGGATTTCCTGGGTTAGCGCCGGAGGCTCCGCCAAGTTCTAGCGATCTAATTAGCTAATGAGGGGAGAGATGAGCTTTCGTGGAAACCAATTCAAGTTAGGGCTTGGGTTCGGGCGGGGGAAAGTTAGAAGTTCGAGTTCGGAAACCAAGGAAAGCAAGATTTGGAAACAAGTTCAAATGTGGTAACAGAGTTTGGAGAAAGTCCGCAAGCAGTTAGAAACAAAACTTAAAACTAAGTCTCAAGTGCGGGAGCAGTTCGAAAATAGTTAGAAACCGTTCGGGAAGAGTTCGAAACCAATTCGGGAGTTCGCGAAAAAAATCGGAAAGAGTTCGAAACCCATTCGGGAGTCTGGAGAAAGTTCGAAACCACTCCAGGATTCTCGCACCTTCGAACTTGAATTTTCTAACAACATTGGCCTCGATTTTTCCGTACTTCGATTTTTCCCAACCGTCCTGTGGTGTTGGGTCCTCGTTTTGAAGAAACGGTCCCCGCGTTCTCCCCTCCTCCTCCTCCTCCTCCCCCTCCTCCCTCCTCCCCCTCCGCGTCAGCCACGCCCACTTCGTCACACCCCTCACACGTTTCGTGGCCCATAAGGAGCTCCACCGAGGGCTCCAGTGGCGCGTTCGCATGGCGGCACCGCGCCCATTTCGGCACACCCCTCACACGTTTCGTGGCCCATAGGGAGCTCCACCGAGGGCCCCAGTGGCTGCGTTCGCATGGCGGCACCGCACCCATTTCGGCACACCCCTCACACGCTTCGTGGCCCCATAGGGATCTCCACCGAAGGCCCCAGTGGCTGCGTTCGCATGGCGGCACCGCACCCATTTCGGCACACCCCTCACACGTTTCGTCGCCCCATAGGGAGCTCCACCGAAGGCCCCAATGCTGCGTTCGCATGGCGGCACCGCACTCATTTCGGCACACCCCTCACACGCTTCGTGGCCCCATAGGGAGCTCCACCGAGGGCCCCCGTGGCTGGTTCGCATGGCGGCACCGCGCCCATTTCGGCACACCCCTCACCACGTTTCGTGGCCGCATAGGAGCTCCACCGAAGGCCCCAATGGCTGCTCGCATGGCGGCACGCACCGGCACACCCCTCACACGTTTCGTGGCCCCATAGGGAGCTCCACCGAGGGCCCCAGTGGCTGCGTTGCATGGCGGCACCGCACCCATTTCGGCACACCCCTCACACGCTTCGTGGGCCCCATAGGGAGCTCCACCGAGGGCCCCAGTGGCTGCGTTGGCATGGCGGCACCGCACCCATTCGGCACACCCCTCACACGTTTCGTGGCCCCATAGGGAGCTCCACCGAGGGCCCCAGTGGCTGCGTTGGCATGGCGTCACCGCACCCATTTCGGCACACCCCTCACACGTTTCGTGGCCCCATAGGGAGCTCCACCGAAGGCCCCAGTTGCGGCACACACCCCTCACACGCTTCGTGGCCCCATAAGGAGCCCCACCGAGGGCTCCAATGGCTGCGTTCGCATGGCGGCACCGCCCATTTCGGCACACCCCTCACACGTTTCGTGGCCCCATAGAGAGCTCCACCGAAGGCCCCAATGGCTGCGTTCGCATGGCGGCACCGCACTCATTTCGGCACACCCCTCACACGTTTCGTGGCCCCATAGGGAGCTCCACCGAGGGCCCCAGTGGCTGCGTTCGCATGGCGGCACCGCACCCATTTCGGCACACCCCTCACACGTTTCGTGGCCCCATAGGGAGCTCCACCGAAGGCCCCAGTGGCTGCGTTCGCATGGCGGCACCGCACCCATTTCGGCACACCCCTCACACGTTTCGTGGCCCCATAGGGAGCTCCACCGAGGGCTCCAATGGCTGCGTTCGCATGGCGGCACCGCGCCTTTTTCGGCACACCCCTCACACGTTTCGTGGCCCCATAGGGAGCTCCACCGAGGGCTCCAGTGGCTGCGTTCGCATGGCGGCACCGCGCCCATTTCGGGACACCCCTGACACGTTTCTTGGCCCCATAGGGAGCTCCACCGAGGGCCCCAGTGGCTGCGTCCGCATGGCGGCACCGCGCCCATTTCGGCACCCCCCTCACACGTTTCGTGGCCCCATAGGGAGCTCCACCGAAGGCCCCAGTGGCTGCGTTCGCATGACGGCACCGCACCCATTTCGGCACACCCCTCACACGTTTCGTGGCCCCATAGGGAGCTCCACCGAGGGCCCCAGTGGCTGCGTTCGCATGGCGGCACCGCACCCATTTCGGCACACCTCTCACACGTTTCGTGGCCCCTTAGGGAGTTCCCTCTCATTCGTTCAACCTGCTTTGCGGTACTCGTAACTGCATATGGTTGGGTCCATCGCCAGGATAATTTCTATCAGAGGGACCGTTTGCACCACCTTAGCATGTTACAAGTCTAGCGTCAACCCAAGAAATCTGAGCGAACCTCTGCAAACATATGTCTATGCTATTTTATGTTCTTCGATGTCCTCTCGACGAGCAATAGGCTGATGCCCTTCATCCCGTCCTTCTGGGAGCCCGTCCGCACGGCGACGGTGAAGTAGTCGGCAAAGATGCCGTTGGTGATCCACTTCTTCTCGCCGTTCAGGAGGTAGTGGTCTCCCTCCTTGACGGCGGTGGTCCGGATGCTGGCGACGTCGGAGCCTGGGGGAACAAAAGATACCGACTTCGCGACTCCAAAGGCCCCTCCCATGGTGCGTTCTGCGCAGCACTCCGAGCCGAATCTAGCCGTGGCGACGAGGGCCTCCCAGGACCCTCAGAAGACGAACACGAGGGCAAAGCATCGGCATCGGCATGTCTTTCTCCTCCGAGAACCTGCCGTGGGCTCGGTGATCGCCAGGCAGATCACCTTCTCGGCCGAGAAGACGCTCGGGATGACCTTCCGCTTGATCTCTGGCGTTCCCCACCTCGGCTGCCCCTGCGCGCAAGTACGAGAACGCGCGCCTCGAAGCGCGGTCAGCACGCGACGATTGCAATACGTCACGTTTCGAAGCATATTCAGACCGCGCGTTTTGAGATTCAGGACCTACTGTCAGGAACTAGGAACTGGTGCTCAGCGTGTCGCGGCGGCGGACCTGGCGCCACGCTATGCCTCGCAAGCGGATGGCGGGTTGTTGCGCTCCGCGGGACGGGAGGCTGGGAAGAGCTCGGGACGTTGACGCCTGGAGACTGGAACGTGATGAGCGAGACGCGCCGAGGCGTGGTGGGCCAGAGCTGGCGGCGTGACACGCTGAGCCAAAGTTTCTGACCGTACGTTTTGGGCGGCTAGGCTCCCCACTTCAGCACGGGCGGCAGGCCGATGCAGAGGCCCCCGGCGAGGCCCCACATGAAGCCGCCGGAGCCGCAGCGCGCCAGCTCGTCGTAGATGATCAGCTCGTGGAAGTAGTCCGGCTCGTAGCCGAGCGTGCACTCGCCCACGTGCTCCTTGGGGCCCAGGCCTCCGACGACATGACTCCTCCGATCCCGGCGTGTTTCCTTCCGTATTCGGGCGGGGGCCGCTGCCGGGCCACTGGGCTCTCAAACATGGGTCGGTCCGGCTCGTAGCCGAGCGTGCACTCGCCCACGTGCTCCTGGGGCCCGGGGCCCCGACGAGATGGCCTCCCCGATCCCGGCGTGTCTCCTCGCTGTCGGGCGGGGGCCGCTGCCGGGCCCCTGGAACCATCAAGAAGGGGCCCCGGGAGCGCAGCAGTGCCCCCGTGCGAGCGGGTCGGGAGCTCTGGGGCCGCGGACGGCGACGACGACGACGACGGCTGCGATGACGACGACGACGGGGGTCGGCGCTGTCGCGTCGGAGGCTTTTGGGAGGCTCTGGAGCTTCTCGCTGCCACGGCTGCACGCGGCTCGAACAGCTCGCCAGGATGAGCCCGTGGAGGGGACAGGTTTTAAGCGGACTGCGACCGTCGTGCTGGCTCGGGGAGCGGGGGGGACACTGGCATAGAATCGGCGACACTTCGCCAGAACGATCGGCGAGAGGCCTCCAGTAGCGAAGCCGCGCGATCCTGGACAGGGCGGGAACCCGGGCCCCGATCGGCGAGAAATGGGCGGGATGGGGTCGGTGCCCCCCCCGGGCCAATCCCGCCAATCCCCCCCCCTCTGCTGCCCCTGAACTCCTTTGGCCATGGGCGCCCGGCGCAGATGGGCAGCAGTCCGAGCTTGGCGATCTTTTGGTAGATCTCTGGCGGAATCTGGCCCTCCTCGTCCCACTGATGGACGTTGCCCATGATCTCCTCTTCCACAAACTCGCGGACGCTGGCGCGGAGCTGCTTGTGGGTGTCGTTGTAGTAGCCAGGGTTGTTGAAGGCCTGGTACCAAGCTGGGTCCCCAAAGGCGTTCATGTCCCCGAAGGTATCAACATTGACGCCCATTTTCTTCAGCATCTTGGGGTCGAACGCCATGTTTGTCAAGTGGAAGAACGAACTCCACTGCGCACCCGAGGCTTGCTGCAGTGGCGAAGGGCGAGATCACCGACTCTGGTGCTGTCAGAACTTTGAACCAGACCAGTTCCATAATGATTATCCATGACTCGGTAGGCCAGGGCCATGCTGGGCCCTAGGACGGCGTATAGACCCTCCTGGCCTCGGCCAGGAGGGCGTATACACCATGCCAGGGCCAGGATGGCCCTGGCTTGGCACACAAAAATGTACCCAGACGCTGGAGGCAGGCGTGGATGGTTTGACATGTAGAGCATGCGGAGGCCGCGCGCTGGACACGCCAGCGGGACGCAGGCTTGCCTAGCCCCAGAGGGGCCGAGCGCTGGAAAGACATCCGGCCGCGCGTGCATGCGGCTCTCGCCAAGACATCCGGCTCGCGCGCGTATGCGTGCCACGTCATGTGTGCCCAGCTGTCGTGGTAGACTCAAGACAGTGCGATGGCGAAAACGAAGAGGATAATGGCGAGGGCGAGGATGATGACGATTCCAGGGGGGGCACAAGAATAGAGCGAGGATAAAGGCGTCAACTAAGGAAGGGTCGAGTCAAGATAAGCCAAAATGGCAAACAGGAGGCGCAACGGACGCATGACGAATGGGATGATGATCCTTCTCCTCCTCCTCCTCCTCCTCCGCCTCCTCCTCCTCCGCCTTCTCTTTTTCCCTCTCCTCCTCTTCCTCCGTAGCCATTTTGGCTCAAGGCTTTGAGGTTCACAGTTCACAGTGAACCACGTGGAGCTCGCCCTGCTCTCTGGCCGTGGGCAGCTCGCCGTGTCCACGGACTCTCGGCCTTGGTGGTGTGGCTGCGCGCTGCCACCTCGAGCCACTCTCAATACGGCCAGAGCAGATGCGAGTCCCTGACCCATCCTCATCTTGCTTGTCTGCTGGGTACACTGGCGGGCAAAAAGCAGAGTGAGCGCCAGGCCGCAGCAAAGACGTGGCCGTGTCGTTATGTCACAGCACGAGGGGACACATGGATCTGGAGGGTCGTAAGATGAGGAGAGGACGATCTTCTCTCGAGCGGTCGGGGAGCGCTTCAACTAGAATGCACTCGCGCCTAAGCCAACAGGCTACGGAGGGAAGGACATAGGGGGGGGGGAACGACACCGAACACGGAGGCCCCTGAGGGCCGTCGGGAAACAGCCGGTCCTACTCTCGTGGCCTTAACTCCGTAGTAGGACATAGTAAGGTAGGCCGGGCTGTCGGACAACACGAACGAGTCCTCCTCCTCCTCACCTTCTTCCTCCTCTTCGATCCTCGTGGCGCCGGGCGGCGCCGATGGCCTCGAAGTCGAGGCCGAGGGTATGCGGGCCGGGCGCGCGTCCGCCGCGCCGCCGCCACCGCTGCTGCTGCTCCTCTCCTTCCTCATGCCTCCTGGAGCCTCCTCCTCCTCTCCCTCGCCTCTCCTCCTCCGCCTCGCTCTCACCTCTTCCTCCTCATCCTCCTCATCCTCCTCTGAGACCTTAGCAAGCCCCGACGCGTCAGACACCTTAGCGTGACTCTGAAGGGCCCTCCTCGAGGCCCCGCGGGACCGTGACTTCAAGGCCGCATTCAGGGCCCTCTCATTACAGTGGCCGTCCTCATCTATGAGGCACAAGGTCCCACGCGTCAGAACGTCATGCAACGCCGCGTTGCCACGACCGGGATCCACCTTCGTCATGGGGTCCGCCGGCATCATGCCGTGCGGGAGCCATCTCAGCGTGGACCCCACCGCACTGAGCGAGTCACGTATTACGGCCATCTCGATAGCATTGCGCCGATCGGCGCGAGACCCGGCACTATTCCTGGACAGCGCGTCGAAAACACTGTTAGCGTCAACAACGCTCAACGATGAGGCCGAGTCTCCGATCTCACAGTCCCGGGAGAGCACCACCGAAAAGGGCCCCTGCGAAGCCGTCCAATCTGGTCTCGAGACATCCCCGAACACAACGTCGCGCCACATAATCTGCAACCATTGTGCTTCTGCGAGCGCCGCAGACAGAGAAAGCGTCTCTGCCGCTATAGTGCTAGCAACAACTCGCTTCAGCCGCTGAGAGCGCCAAGCAAGCAAGCTCACGCGAGCCCGCTTTTTCTCGCGGATGGAAGCATCCGCTGCAAAAACGAGCCAGCCGGCTTGGGCACCTCCTCGCCGTGCCGACCCAGGGCCACCGGCGTCGGACGCCGTCGCAAACGTGGTAGCGATCGGATCAAGTCCCCAAATCGTGATGTACTGAGAAGCCGAGGCCCTCAGAAACTTAACCACCTTGTTGGCCATAAGAGCATCAGAAATCTGTGGCTCCGGGAGCGCTGCTGCCAGCAGAGACGCGCTCCCGGTCACATCGGGGCGAGATTCTCGAGCAAGCCATTGGATTTAGGCCACCGCAGTGCGGTACGAGGATATCTCAGACGACGTGAGCGGGCTCTCGGCCTGAGAAGCACGCTCCTTGGCGATAGCAATGGGCGAAAGTTGCCCCCGCGCATACTTCTCTTGATCCGCCGTTATCTTCCCGCCCCGCTGCCTGATATGCCTTCCGGCATAGTCTGCCTCTCCCTCCTCCCATTTACCGAACTTAAAACGCTCGAAGAGGCGGCGCTTCAAATCGGGCAGCACCTTAGCATCTCCGGTAACGATCAGGTCGTCGACCTCTATCAGCACGAGAGACTGGAGTCTGCCGCAACTCGAGCGCTGCAGCCACAGGCATGGCTCCAAAAGCGAGCGAGTAAAACCGATTTCACCCAAATGCTCCGTGAGGGTCTGGTGCCACAGCAGGGGGGCATCATTCAGCCCATAGACAGGCGCGATCAGCTCGATCAAAGTTTCCCCCGGAAGCCCGAGGCCTGAGCAGGCCTCCACATAGATAGCTCCCTTCGGTCTCTCGAGACGGTTGCTCTGGCAGAACGCATTCTTTGCGTCTGCTATCCCCAGGACCCACCCCACGGAGGCGATCACCTGTAGCGCCAGCATTATGGATTCTGACTGCGGGGTAGGAGCATAAACTTGCAAAGTATCACTGTCCGGATCCTGGTGGCCATGCACGCACCAGCGACTCTTGGCGGTAGGCGCGCTGCCTACCCCCTCGGAGGGCTTCAGCCTCCTGACCATCCGAGAAGACAAAATCCGATCCGGGTGCTGGCGCCTCGTGAGACGCGATTCCTCCAAGCTGAGGACTCGCACTGCCCCAGAAGCCGTCATCGCGGCCCACTCCTTGGCGTCTGATGCCTCAAATTCTAACCGCTGCTCAGGCGTCAGATTCTTCAGCTGCACCTCCGCCCCTCGTCGTGGAACAGGCGGGGCCCCCACGGGCACAGAAAAACAGCCCGGCAAATCTATATAAAACGAGCCCTCCTCGGAACCGAGAGCCGAGAAGAGCGCGTCGCAAGTAATGCCCATCGACGCCAGTTCTTCGCTCAAAACCCTGTCCTGCCCCAGGTCCTCTTCCCCCTCGAGGTCCCCAAAACTCACCAGTCCCAGGACTAGCTCCCCAGTGGTCGGGTTTCTCGTCCAAACCGGCTCGGGCCAGTCCCTAGAAGCAGAAACGGCGGCCCCCCCTCGCGCCCCAGCTGGAGGGGTGACCGACTGCGGCGAGCCTCTGCCGCCTCAAAAACTGGCGCGGCCGCTGGAGGTCCAGCAGCAACGCCCTCGCGCTCAGCCATCATCCGGGAGACGCGTCCTGACCCGGTCAGCTGCTCTGCCGCGGTCAGTCCCGAGGAAAGCAGACCAGCCGTCGCTGGAGGCTGCAACCCCCACTCGGATCGGACCGCGGCCCTCTCTCGCTCAAGAGCCGTCGCGTCCGAAGTGTACCTCACCCCTATACCCCTTCTCCGAGAAGGCGGAGGAGCCTCCTCGAGGGCTTCTTCCGCTTGCCTCCGCGGAAGACGCTCCGCCTGAGCTTCCGCATCAGAGAGTCGTCTATCGTGGCGACCGCGGGGGAGGGTTCTTGCAAAGGCGGGGCCCCGGAAGCCTCGGCCTCCGACGAGGCAGGGCCAGTCGCCGACCCGACCTCAGGAACGACAGTCGACGCGATCGACGGGGCAACAGCTCGCACCTCCGGGGGAGGGCCCTGCGGGCCTCTGGACTCCGCCACGGGAGCTCCGGAGTCTCCTGGAGCATCCCAGGCTTCCGGAGGAGGGGGCCCCTCCGACTCGACATCGACGGCCCCAACGCGCTTCCCTGGGTTCCTCAGCTCCTGCCGAAGCTGGTCGAACCGAGGATTGTCGAGCAACTCAGCACCCAAGGCCTCCGGCCTCGTCGCGGGCCTCACCTGCTCAACAGAGCACTTCAAAAGACGATGGCGCATCGCAACCCATACTGTACTCCTGGCCTGGTAGACGACGGCCCCGGGACCTGTCCAGCGATCTCGCTGCAAGTCGTGGCTTCTGTTCGCGGACGTGAGCCTCCTCCAGACATACACCCACTCCCCCGGTTGGTACACTTTGTCCACGTGCTTCCGTGCCTTAGATGCCTCCGCCAAGCGATCGCGCGCATCGTGGGCAGCCAGAGCCCTCTGCGCCTCAGACCTCAGCTGATGCGCCCGGGCGAAAGCAGCGGCGGCCGCGTCCTGATCGATCGCACTCGTCCGGAGATCCTCGACCCCTATCTCATCCACGGCGTCGTCGCTCAACATGGACCTCGGGGCCCGCGGATTTTCCCCAAACACCATCTGACACGGGCTGAAGCCGCCCCTATGATACGCGCGGTTCTTTCCGGACACGACCTCGCAGAGAAGAAGATCCACCTCCTCTCGAGTCGTGGGCGCAGCCGACAAGGCCGCACGAGAGACGGCATTCTTCACAATGCCACCGTGCCTCTCGCACTTGCCGTTAAAATGAGGGGAGTTGGCTGGAATCACCTGGAGATAGATGCCCCCGTTCTCGCACCCCCTAGAGAAGCTACCACCGAACTCGGCTCCGCCGTCCGACAGTATCATCTCCGGAAGGCCAAATGGGCGGATCCACCACCGGGCGAGTGCAGCCCACACCGTCGCGGACTTGTCGTCCGACAGTAAGCAGCACTGTTGGTAACTTGTACCGTGGTCCACCATATTCAGCACTGGCAAGCTTTCCCCCTGGAAGTCCAGATAAAACAGATCGACCGAAAGCAACCGGTTGAACCGATAGGTTGGGAAGGCGGGCCCGGCGCCTCCAATAGGGACGCAAGTGAGAAGCACAATGCGCACAGTGAAACTTGTGCTTCACCCAGTGAAGAATCTCTGGTCGAGCTCCTGCTATGCGAAGAGTCCACAGGAAGTC